AAAATCTATAATGGATTACAAAAAAAAAAAAAAAAAAATTCCGTACTGGACTCACCGATTCACTGTTCGGACTCGCCTATTCCGTACAGTGAATCGGCGATTCACTGTACAGAATCGTCCGGTTCTCTCTAGAACCGGACGATTTCCGATTTTTTAGGCGATCCGGTCCCCTTTTCACGATTTCCGAGTCGAACAGGGCGAGTCCGGTTCGACTCGGCGTTTTTTAAAACACTGATTTGAACCATTAATTTCCATTATTTTTAGATGGAACGCCTAATTGCATCCGTCTCTAAAGTGGTTGCTTTACCCTTTTTTAATCGCATGACTACACGTATGTAATAGTCATGAAGTCCAACCCGCATGAGACAATTTTCCTTAATTAAACAATAAACTAACATTAATTTCAGCAAATGAAATGAATTTTAATTAATTAAAAACTAAAAAATAGCCCCCTTAAAAAGCACTTGGGAATTCTTGTTCATCACTTTTCTCCTATTATTCTCTCTAACCCCTTTCGGCACGTGTGTATTTATTTTCTCTCTCTAACCCCCTTCTTGTTGGTGACCCCTCACCTATTTTCATGGTATATTCTTAAGGTGAGGTTTGTATAGAGTTTAGGCTCTAAAAAATCAAATTAGAGCCTGAAGAAATGTGGCTTCAATACTGAAAATCTTTGTGATATCCTTAAAATATATTTTTTATCTTTATTTATAAAATTTATTTATAAAGGTTAAAGTTTTAAAAATAATGTACATTGACAAATCTATGAAAACTTGAAAATCTTGAAAATTGACCGTCCAAATATGCTTTACAAAATACACTATTTTCAAAACTTGAAATCTTTTTTTTTTTTCACATCTTGAGTCGAGATGATCAAATTGAGGATATTTGAGCATCAAAACAACCTATTTGAGTGAAATTTTTGAGGCAGACTCTTATTTGATTGTTTAGAGCATCCGCTTAATATAAATAGGTGCGACATTGGCACGTGTACAATGCCTCACCTATTTTTATAGGATAAAGCTTGGGTTTTTGTTTTGAGTAATGATCCTATAGGACCCTCCCCCATCCATGTGTGTAGGACTCCAAAAGATCACCATTAAATTTGGTACAGATATCTAGAAAAACTATCACATGGGTGTGGGACTTGATTTTTCTAGATATTCGTACCAACTTTAATGGTGATCTTTTGAAAGTCCTACACACATGGGTGGGAGAGAGTCCTATAGGATCATTTCTCTTTTGTTTTTGGATATGTTTTTGGGTATTGTACAAGCCTAGTCTCTAAACAATCAAATTACTATCTTTAAATAGTGTCGAGAGATGTGGTTTCAATATTAAAAATCTTTGTGATAAGACTTAAAATATATTTTCATCTTTATTTATAAAGCTTCAAAAATAGTATAGATCGACAACTCTATAAAAACTTGAAAAGCTTGAAAATTGACTATAAAAAAATGTGTTACAAAATACACTATTTCCAAAACTTGAAATCCATTTTTTTCTCATGTCCATGCATCTTGATGTCGAGATGATCAATTTGAAGATATTTGGGCATTAAAATAATCTTTTCTCTCTTATTTGATTGTTTAGAGCCTCGGCTCAATATAAAATTTTCCCTTTGTTTTCAAGACACGGTTTTTATAAAGGGTGTGGTTTGTACCGACAATCAAATTAGAGCCTACCTTCAAATAGTGTCGAGAAAATTGGCTTCAATATTGAAAATCTTTGTGAAAGCCCTAAAATATATTTTCATCTTTTTTATTTATAAAATTTCAAGCTTGAAAAAATAGTATAGATCGATATATCTATGAAAATTTGAAAATCTTGAAAATTGACAGTCCAAAAATGCATTACAAAATGCACTATTTTTAAAACTCGACATCCATTTTTTTCTCATGTCCATGCATCTTGATGTCGAGATGATCAATTTGAAGATATTTGGGCATGAAAAACAACCTCTTCAAGTAAAATTTTTGAGGTGGCTTTAATTTGATTGTTTAGAGCCGTGGCTCTATATAAACACTTTTCTTTTATGAGTACATATAGCAATGAGTCAATACTTAGAAATCTATTTTTGAGATAGATTTTTGGACTTAATTTTGAAGGATATGTAATCTCCAGATGGCAAATAAGAAAAAAATAAATTGAAATAATAATTTTATTGAAAAAAACAATTCAATTGATTTTAGATGGAATACCTAAAAACATTTAGAAATGGATGCTTTATATACCACAAAATGTACAAACGCAATAGAAATTTGGCCGCACGTGAGAAATTAAAGAGAGGGAAAACAGAGCTAAAATTTACAAGAGCCTTCTGTGTTTTAGCTTTCTTCTCTCTCTAATGGGTTCCTGAATCAAAATTCAGGCTCTGTAATCGGCATGCCCCTTTCTGATGTTGGCTTGGCACTCATCTCGCTCTAAGATTTTGCTTTCTCTCTAACAACTTTCTAGAGAGAGAAAGGAGGAAAATCGTGAAGAATAAGGGTGCATGTTTGTATTGCCTTTATTCTACCAGAGATATCCATCTCTCCGTCCTTATTCTCCATTTTACCTTTCTCTAAATATCAGAGAAGTCAAAAACGCGAAGCAGAAAAAAACCCAATGTTTCTCTCCCTAAATCTCTCAGAATTGGTAAACCAAGTGAAGAAAAGACCAGTTTAAATTGCATGTAAACAAATTGGCAGAAAAGGGGAGCAGAGATATGAAGGGAAGAATGAGAAGAGAGAGAGGCATACAGTGGATACAGCTCGAAGAGGACGAGCAATGCCATGATATGAAACCCTAAATTTATTATTGAAATCATCATCCCTGTAAATGAGAACCGCCACCGCGGTGGTGCTTGCTTCTACCACAGAGCAGCCGCAGTCCCTTGCTCTGGAGCCAATATTCCGACCCCAAAATAACCTTCTTATTCTCGCTCTTTACCCCTTTCTCTTTGCTATTCTCTTCCCTTCTCTTTTCTTTCTCTTCGCTGCTTTCTCCTTCACAGAGAGCGCATTGGCGGGAGAAAAAAATGGGTGGGGGGAATTTTATGAAAGGAAACCAGCGGGCTTTTCTTTCTTTTCTTTTCATTTCTTTTCTTTTTTTTTTTCTTTTTTTTTCTTTTTCTTTTTCTTTTTCTTTTTTTTTTTTTTTTTTTTAATATATCAGTAGGGATTAAGGCCCTACCCAACCTGAAAAATCAATTTACAACTCTTTAGGAAGGGACTATTAGTAATATTATATGAAAGGAAAGGCACTACAACATTTAGGGGGCGAGCGCACCACACCGTTGCTTCATTTATAGATATTTTTTCTTTACTAATGAGTCGGCAGCCATATCAACTTTTTTTAAAGCATGTAGGATCTACCACTGATGGTCTGCAAAAGATGTGAGCTTAATTATGCAATTAACTAGGATTATCCACAATCTCTATAGAGGCCTACAATGCAGACTCACATAATCAATAAAAAGCTTGTAATCACTTTTAATGACCAGAGGTACGCGAAATCCCCACATCCAGTGCATGGAATTCAACATTATTATTAGAGTTGTTACCCAATGGTGACACAAAGGATGTAATGAAACCACTTATATCATTCCCGATGATACCATCATAACTGACAATTACATAATTCAGCTTGGAACCACCATTAATGTTGAGCTTGTAGAAGCCCGTAGGGGGAAGCAACCATGCCACATGAATTTGAACTGGGCAATTTCTATACTCCATTGCAAGTTAAGATTCGTGGTTGTATTAAATTCCGAGCGATGGAAAGCCCAATATCTTGCTTTTGTTGGCGAATTGACAATATGGATAATACACCGTAGGAGTTGTTTCGTACGCATTTTCTCCCCATCATCAACGTGAATTTCATTCCATCCAAAGGCTTCAAATGGTAATGAAAACGATAGAAATTCCATACATACTGCATATTTGGTTATTGAAATTTAAATTCAGTCCACTTGACCATCAAAGTCGTTGTGGTTAGCTCAAGGTTTCCAAATCTATAAAGGATATATCTCCCAATCAAGTGCGAATACGAGCAGTGCACAATAAAATGATAAGAGAATTCCTCCTCCTGAAACAAAAAGGGTATGCGGAAGCCAAAGAAAAGCCCCTTGATTGAAGTAGCATTGAGGTGGATAACCGAGAATACAGGGCTAACCAATTGAACCATTTCACCCTGAGAAGGAATGACATGGACCACAAAATTATGAAAAAATGTTTCACATGTGCATCCCTTTTATTGTACTCTCAAGCCCTCTTCAACCCTCAACTAAATGAATCCAGACAAATGGATCTTCAAGGGGACGAAGAGGCAATACATGTTAAAACATCTTCTAAATAAAGGGGGATAGAAACAGAAGATGTAAGATACGTCTAAGAGCTGCAGCATCCAAGAAGTCATATACTTTGGCCTTGGTAGAAAACCATGTGAATGTATCCCCCACAAAGATTGTTCTAATAACCACATATCAACCCAAAAATCTATCTATTTTCCATTACCAACCAACCATTTGACATTATTTTGTAACATGATGCCCAAAGCCATGCCCCGCCATGCATGCGAGCAATTCCTTGGATGACTATGCCACACTATGATATGGTGAAAGTACTTGTGTTTGAAAAACTTTACTAGGAGAACAAATGGATTGGACATTACCCTCCATGCCAATTTCATATTGTCAGCCATATTAAGGTCCTGAACATGATGAATTCCCAATCCCCCCTCGTCATGTTTCAAGCGTAACGTACTCCAATTTACCAAGTGCAATCCCTCATTATCAGTAGTGCCTACACAAAGGAAGTTATATTGTAACCTCTCGGTGATACTACAAGTGCACCTTGGAAGGAGGAAAAAAAGAGCTAATAGATAGAAGAAGCATTGAAAATTGATTTGAGGAACTATAATCTACTTGGCAAAGAGAGAGAGATAATACTTAATATGAACCAATCTTGCAGATGATCTCCCCAATTAAACTGTGACATGTCTTCAAGCACTGGAATTCAAATCTAATGGTCAATAGTGATTGTGACCTCTTCGTATTAAAAATGTAAAGGAAAAAGTTTATACAAGTGCTCTAAACAATCAAATTAGGGCACACCTCAAATTTTTTTTTAAAAAGAGGTTGTTTTGATGCCCAAATATCCTCAAATCGATCATCTCAACCTAAAGAGGCATAGACATGAGAAAAAAAATGGATTTCAAGTTTAGGAAATAGTGCATCTTGTAATGCATTTTTAAATCATCAATTTTAAAGATTTTCAAGTTTTCATAGATTTCTTCTATTTTTTAAGCTTTAAATTTTAGAATTAGATATGGAAATATATTTTAAGGCTATCTCGAAGATTTTCAGTATTTAAACCACAATTCTTGATACTGTTTGAAGGTGTCTTTATTTTGATTTTTTTGAGCCTTGGCTCTATACAAACAACACCCAAAAATAAATGTCTCATTGTAAGTTTTTTTTATTTTTCATAAACCATAAGAAAAAAAGAAGAAGAAGGAAACGTTTGCATACCATACTAAATCTAAAGGGTCCTTTTCATCTGAAAGCGAAGTTGGTTTTTTGTTAGAGCTAGCAACGGGCTAGGTGGCCGGGTGTTGCTTGAATTGATCCCTCCCATATCCATTTAGGACCAACCTGAGCTCAGCCACAAAACCAAAGGAACCTAGGCGCTAGCCAGGCCCGGGTATGATTTAACATATCAAAAATATCCTATTTTACAAAAAAAAAATTGAAAGGAAACATTGGTTTTTAAAACCTCATTCATATCCAATTTTTTTGCTGTACATTTTAAGAAAAAGTATGCAATGAGACCATTTATCTTTGATACAATGTGGTCATTATTAATCTTAACCATTGGATGTAAAATTAGATCGTTGAATTTATTCTAATGACTAAAGTCAAACTTCAAAATAAATTTTTTTGAACTTTATGACACACTCAACCTATCGGATTTCAGATTGGATTGTTGTAAGAAATTGCAAATAACTTGTATCAAAAGTAAATGGTCTCATTGTATATAACCCTAAATTTTAATACCTAAAATACCCTTCAGGGCTATGATGCTTTTGTTTACCGTTCATATTTTTAAAAAGGTGAGGTTTGTATAAGGTTGAAACCTTAAATAATCAAATTAATCACAATAAGGTGTACCTCCAAAATTTGTCATGAGATATAATTTTAGTGTTGAAAATTCTTAGGATAGTGGAAGAATCCATTTTTATCTCTAATTATAAAATCTTAAACTCCAAAAATAGTTCAAATCAAGTATATCTATAAATGCATGAAAACCTTAAAAATGGACGGTCTAGATAACATGTTGCAAGATGTATTATCTTTATGACTGGAAATCTATTTTTTTTTCCATATCTATACATCTCGATGTTGAGATGATTAATTAAATATTTTTTTCAACATCAAAACAAATCTTATTCGAAAGATTATAGATGTGCCTCTTAGTTTTACATTTTAAGAAGTCAACTTTGCATAATTTTTTTCCTTTTATAGAGGCTTTATTTTTAAAACAGTTACGATTCTAGAAAAAAAACTTTATTTTAACAACCTTCACAGTTCTAGTAGTTCCGTGATACTTTTAAAACAAAAAGCCATTAAGGTTCCAATACAGCCATGATCCTTTAAAACTTCATAATATAATCGTGGAAGTGGGTGTTTCATAGCATCAGATATCTATTTGGGCCATGATGATCTTCACGATTCTAACATAAAGGTGAAGGGTATTTCTGGCAACAAAACATGGATAGTAAAAAAATTGAATTTTTTTAATGATGAGGGATGTTTTTTATATTTTTAAAATAAATATAAAATAAAAAATTTATAATAAAATCTTTTACCTTCGAAAGAAAGTGTTCACAATTAATCTTGATATTAAATGTAAAATTGGGTTGCTGCATTTATTTCATTGACCTAACTTAAAGTAGAAAATAAATTATTTTAAAAAACATATTCGAGGTGTGGGATTTCACATCATATGGTTATACAAAAAGAAAAATTTTATATATAACCTAGGCTCTAAACAATCAAATCAAAACCTATCTCAAGAATTTCACTAGATTAGGTTGCTTTGATGTTAAAATATCTTCAACTTGATCATCTTGACATCAAGATGCATGGACATTAAAAAAATGGATTTCAAGTTTGAGAAATCGTGCATCTTGTAATGCATTTTGGGATCGTAAACTTTCAAGATTTTCAAGTTTTCATAGATACGCTCGATCTATACTATTTTTTAAGCTATAAATTTTATAAGTCTCACACCCATAAGCAGGATTCCAAAGGATCACCATTAAATTTGACATATATCTTTAAAAAAGTCAAGTCCCGTGATAACTTTTCTAAAAATATATACCAATTTAATGGTGATCCTTTGGGGTCTTATACACATGGATGTGGGTGGGTCTTATAGGATATTTACTCATTTTATGATTAGAGATGAAAATATATTTTAAGGCTATCATAAAGATCTACCTTCAAATTGGGTAGAGAAATGTGATTTCAATACTGGAAATCTTTTTTATAGCCTTAAAATATATTTTCATCTTTATTTATAAAGTTTAAAGCTTCAAAAATAACGTAGATCGAGAGATCTATAAAAATTTGAAAATCTTGAAAATTAATGAACAAAAAATGCATTACATAATACATTATTTTTAAAACTTAAAATCCATTTTTTTTTCATGTCCATGCATCTTGATGTCGAGATATCAATTGAAGGATATTTGGGCATCAAAGGAACCTCTTGAAATTTTTGAGGTAGGCTCTAATTTGATCGTATAAAGCCTCGGCTCGGAATAAACTTTTTCCATTTGAAAATCCCTTAAAAAATGAGGAGAAATAGAATGGCGTCGCCATGTCTGGCCTGTCCTGTTGTGGTCTGGGCTGAGTCCCTTGCCTACCCTAATTTGGGTACTCGATAAGCCCATTTCTTTCCCTTTTTCCTGCTGCATGCAGAGTCCCCGCCATTTTCCGCTCTCTCTTCTTGAAGAGAGAGAAAGAGACAGGGAATCGAGAGAAGTATAGATTAAGAGAGAGGAGAAGAGGAGAGAGAGGGGTTAAAGACTAGAGAGAGAATGAGAAGGTTATTATGGGGTCGGAATATTGGCTCCAAAGCAAAGGCCTGCGGCTACTTGATGGCCGCAGCGAGCACCGCCGCAGTGGCGATTCACATTTACAGCGATGATGATTTCAATAATAAACTTAGGACTTTTTATCATGGCATTGTTCGTTCCTCGAGGGCTGTATCCACTGTATGCCTCGCTCTTTATCTTTACTCCTCTTTACCCAATTTCTCTCTCTCTCTCTCTCTCTGTATCAGTGATGGATCGAGTGTCTTTTGTTCACAGTGCACTTTGAATGTGATTGATTACAAGTATACTCTGCGAATGTTGGCACCAAATTCTGAGGAATATTACGAGGCACTATCTCAGGTACAGTCACACTTTAAATTCCCCCAAATATCTGGTAATGCTTAGAGAGAATAATTATTGAATTTGGGCTGAGAATTGAGAGCTGAGAATCCCCCAAATATCTGGTAATGCTTTGAGAGAATAATTATTGAATTTGGGCTGAGAATTGAAAGATATATGTTAAGAAATTCATTCACCAGTATCTTGAATTTTGGTTGTTTCTTTTCAAAGTCAAGGACTGAAAATTCTCACTTATTTGCCTCCATGTTTTTATATTGCCTGATGTATTTCTCTTTTTATTTTGAAAATTTCATTTTATTTGCTTTTTTTTTTGGTATCCCTTCTTAGCTTTTGTTTGAGTTCTATTATAATTTGGTTGAAATTGTCACGAAATTTTATAGAAATGGTAATCTCCTATTCCTCTTCGCCATCTCCGAAAAATAAAGAAAAGATAATAATGGAGAAAAATTAAAAGAAGCAAGAAAACAAAGATTTATGTGGTTCGGTAAATTGCCTATGTCCACGAGGCAGTAAAGTTCTTCTCAAGAAAACACTTTACAAACATGGAGAATACATGGGATTACAAGCTCTCTCTCAAACCTAAAACAATGTCCTTTCTCTAAAACACCCATCCAAAGGACTTAAGGAACTAACTCTCTCTCACACTCTGTTGTGCATCTAATTTTCTCTCTATAAAACTACTTTTATAAAGAAAAAATCCCATAAAATTACCCACGTGAGGCCCCATCCTATTTTGATTCGTTTTCCTAAATAATAGGCTCTAGGTTTCCTACAAGATGGGACTCCTAATTGCTTCAACCAACTCAAGGTAATTTCCTAAACCTAAAGGATTACATTCCCATGATAATAGGAACCCTAATACTAATAGGAAATAAAAGATATCCAAATTCCTTTAGAATAGGATCTCCTATTTAATAGGAAATATGACTTCATGTTCACTTGGAGACGTGTTTCCATGCCGACTATTCTATTCCAAGAAATTGTTGCCCACCAGTCATTAATTATCAAGTAACTACAAGCACCAACGAGGTTCTGCACCAAGTGAACTTCCCTTTCCCAAGACGCTTAGTTCACATATCCACTAGATTGTCTGGTTCTAAGGGCTTAGTCATCAAGTTAGACTGGGAGAAGGCCTACGGCATAGTAGATTGGGGCCTCCTTGATGAAATCCAGCTTCGCATGGGGTTCTGTCCCTATTGGCTATCATGGATTAAAGCATGTATCTCTAGCCCCTCCTTTTCTGTCATCATTAATGGCTCATCGGTGGGATTCTTCCCATCTTCTAAGGGCATTAGACAATGAGACCCCCTCTCATCCTTCCTTTTTACCTTCATAGGAGAGCTCTTCACTAGAACTTTTGGTGGTTCAAGCGTGGCTTACTTTCAAGGTTTCATACCTCCACAACTGTCCCTATTCTGTCCCATCTTCTCTATGTAAATGATACCTTGATTTTCTGTGGGCAGAGCCTACTCAATTAGATAAACTCTTGCTTTTTCTCAGATGTTTTGAGCTCACTACAGGAATGAAGGTTAACATGTCCAAAACCAAATGTTCAGTATTCAGGTCTATGATTATGAGCTCTACTCTCTAGCTGCTCATTTAGATTGTGCCATTGACCACCTCCCCTCATCCTACTTAGGCCTCCTCCTCTGTTTAGGCAAGCCTAACAAACAACTTTAGGATAATATTATAGAGAAATTTTCCTAGAAGCTTGCTATTGGAAAGGAAGATTCTTGTCCTTGGGTGGTCGAATTACCCTCATCAAAGCCACTTTGGCCAACATCTTGGTATACCAGATGTCTCTTTTCCATATCCCCGTTTCCATAGCCAATCGCCTTGAGAAACTTATGAGGGATTTTCTTTGGAATGGGGAATCCCAAGGGCATAAATTCCACCTTATTACCTGGAATAGGATTTGTACTCCCAAAAAGTTTGGAGGTCTTAGCATGAGGAAAATTACTTTAGGTACTCCACGTTATTGGGAAAATGGTGGTGGAGATTCACCTCTCCACACCCTCTGCTCTGGAAGTAGATGATCAGTGCAAATATGGCATGGGAGTGGAAGGTTGGCTACCTGGATCCCCTTTGCACCGAGCTTCAGCTGGAAATCAATGTCATCCTGAAAATATTTGTTCAAATCTCACATTAGATTTCAAATAGGTTATGGCTCTAGAGTTAGATTTTGGAAAGATTTTTGGATTGGTGACCAATCATTAGAACTTCTCTTCCCTTATCTCTTCCTCTTAGCCACTGATCAAGATTCCTCTGTGGCCACTTATGTGGAACGTAGGGGACTGTTATTGGTTTGGACCCCAATTTTTAGAAGAAACCTGTACGACTTGGAAATCATCTCTTTTAATTCCCTTCGTAGGTTCCTCAATCTTTTATTCTCTAATCTCTACTCTTTCTCGTGAGGATTCTATCATCTTGGCTCCCAATCCTGCTAGGGTATTTAATGTATCTTCCTTCTACTTGTCTCTCCTTCCTCCTATGGATCCCTCTCCTCTTCTCAATAAACTTTGGTCCATCCCTACCCCTCTCAAGATCCAAGTTTTTGCCTGGATCCTTCAATAAGGAAAAGTCCTAACCTTGGATCAACTGCAAAGGAGAGGCCTCTCTCTCCCAAACCGAATGTTCTCTTTGCTTACAAGACGAGGAAACCATTCCCCCTCTTTTCCTTCATTGTGAAGCCACTTTTCCCATATGGTCTTTCCTCCTAAAACTCTTTGGCATCCATTGGGTCACTCCCGCCTCTGTACCCCAACTTTTCTCCACCATGTTCTCTCCCCCTTTCCCTAGTAGTGGTTGTGTCCTCTGACGTACTATTCTTTGGACTATTTGGTTAGAAAGAAACTATAGGATTTTCAGGGGAACCGCAAGATTCTGTCATACATAATTGATTCAACTCTTGCTCTGATTTCTTTTTGGGCCATAAATATCCCTGTTTATAAACCCTTTGCCCTCTTTAACTTCAGGGCATATTGGAGTTTTCTCCTTCCACTCGCCCTCCCTTCCCAATCTTTTAGGCTGTTTGGAACCCACCACCCCCTGCTTTTCTTAAAGTTAACACAGACAGGTCTTCTCTTGGAAACCCTAGTCCGGTGGACTTTGGAGGCACGCTGGCCAAATCAAAAGGTGTCTTCCTTTCCTTCTTTGGTCGTCTGGGATTTTTAGATTCTACCATTGTAGAAGCCGTGGCCTTGTTTGAAGGAGTTAAGAGAGCATTGGTTGTAGCTCACCAATTCAAAGGAGTATTGGTAGAGGCAGATGCAATCAACACATTTAGATGGGCCTCAAATATTACTCTCCCAACATGGCACCTTGCATCCGTTTTTGAGCATATTGCCTTCACTTGCAAGTCCTTTGTAGCAATTCGCTTAAGTCACATCCATCGAGAAGCCAATGCAATAGCTGATAGACTCACAAAGGATGCAGCACGTGTAACCCCAGGTTCCATCGTTTCTTCCTCTTGACCCCTCTCTATTCCCTACTCCCCCCCACCTTCTAAAAAAAAATAGGATAAATAGAAAAAACAAAAAAAAGGGAAAAATAAATAAATAAATAAATTTAGTTCCTAGGTAAAGCTTCCCCTTTCGTCTACTCTTTTGATTCCTTCTCTAACTCCTCTTCCCTCATTCGTCTTTCCTGTCTTCTTTAAGGCTCTTTTCTCCTCTCCCTCAAGTCCTTTTCTTTCTCCTATATAAATGTGTCTCTCTTTTCCCCTTCCCCTGGTTTTCTTCCTCTATCCCCACCCAACCCCCCCACCCCAACTCCCCTTTTGATCTGATCATTAGCCAGGTACCCCTCTTTCCTCATAAAATTCCCCAGGTTCGACGTTGGTAAAATGGTCCGATGTCTTGGTTATTTTTGGTCCTACTCATGGGTGCTTAGCTCGGTGTATATGCTCGCTTAATCCTTGTGCACATGCCGAAGACCCAAAAACATTACCGTTATCCTCGCCTCACCCTTCCTACCTATGACTTGGCCTCTTCAGAGTATGGTAGAACCCCCCAACAAGAGCAACGCCTCCTAAATTTGACCCCATGATGGTCCATTTTTATGTAATTGTATTTAATTTCTTTCTTCTCTCCCCTATGTTGGTACTCTGAGCACTCACATGTGGGATGCTTGTATACGGTTTTTGTAACTTCCCTTCTTACTAATATTAATACAAAGTTAACATTTCTTCAAAAAGACATATCCACTTGATTGTCGTTAGTATGAATTTTTTGTAATAAAATTCTTTTATCTTCTACCACATCATGAACAAAGTGATAATGAACATCAATATGCTTAGTCCTGCCATGGAAGGCTGGATTCCTTGCTAAAAACTAGGCACTTTAGTCATCACAATGAAACGGTATACTTTCTTCCACAACTTGGAACTCACCAACTTGTTTAGCCAAATTGCTTCTTTAGATGCATGGATAAGTGACATATATTCAGCCTCTGTAGAAGACAAAGCTTCACAAACTGCAACCTTGATAACCAACTACACCACCTCCTAAAGAAAAAACATACCTAGTAGACCTTTTTTTTTTATCCAAGGCACCTGCAAAATCTGCATCGGCATAATCAACAACTTTCAAATCCATTCCACTGTAATAAATACCGGCATTGCAAGTTCCCGTTAAATACCGAAGGATCCACTTCATAACAATCCAGTGATCATGGCTCCCAAATCTTTCACCTCGAATTCCCTAGCCAATTGAGCTTTAAGTGTTGCAATATGCTCTTTGTTTAGTCCTAAAACAATCATGTCATCGACATACAATAACAAGATAATAAACCTTCCATCACCGTAACATGAAAAGAGGTACAATGGCCAGCTTCACATGTATGAAATTCAAGCTCAACATAAAGTCAAATTGTTTGTACCAACACCTTGGCTCCTATTTCAACCCGTACAATGATTTCTTGAACCTATAAACGATATTCTCTTTACCTTCCTTAATAAAATCGTCAGGTTGGGTCATATAATATATTTTTTTTAAGTCACCATACAAAAATGCAACTTCACATCTAATTGTTCTGAGTCTAAATCAATGACAGTAGTGAAACTCTCATCAAAGTCGATACCTGATTTTTTAGTATAACCTTTCACAGCCAATCGAGCATTTTACTTTCAACAATATCATCTGGACCTTTCTTCATCTTGAAGATCCACCTGCAACCACTTGCCTTTCACCTTTCTGATGATTCAATGAGGTCCCATGTTTTATTTTTTTACAAGGCCTTCATCTCTTATTCCATGGATGGTCTCCATTGACCGGTTTCATTGCCCTCCTCTGTCAAGTAAGCATAAGACAAGACAGTCGTTAAGCCTCACAAGTGTCGTTTTAGGTCTTTCAGGTCTTCTTAATGCAATACCACGTAAATATTCTTTAAGGTCTTGAACAATTTCAGGTTCTTAGTCCTGACCATTATCCGCTGGCTCTCATGGGTGCATTTCACCTCAACAGGTTTTACATGTGGCTCATCCTTCTTTTTCTGCATGGTATTTTTATTGAAAATAACAACTCGGCTAACAATAATCTTGCAGTCAGTAGGATCCCACATTCTATACACCCTTGTTCCATCAGCATAGCCAAGGAAAACACACTTTTTTGGATTTTCATCCAACTTAGTCTCGTCTCGTTTGGAATCAAAGAATATGCATCGCAGCCAAAAAAAAAGGAATAATCAATAGGTTTACCTGTCCAAACTTCTTTTGGTGTCTCGTAGTCAATAGCAGAATTGGGAGACCTATTAAACAAGCTGTACGAATTGTTTCTACCCAAAAACACAGCCCTAATCCAGCAGCAGTTAACATACAATTGGTATTTTTAGAACCAAGCCCTGGAGTGAAGTAGCCAATGCTGCATAATTTCCTCCCTATCCATAGACAAAACTTCTTCATCTTCAAAAAACTCAATTTCTTCTCCTAGATTTCCTTGAGACTGACTTGAATTAGGCTTCTCATTAGAACTAGATTTAGGGGCTTCCTAGTTCCCTTTTTGTGCTTTACAATCTTTCTTCACATGACCTAATTTTCCTCATCTCCAACACTTCACTTTCTTACGCCCTCTCGATTTAGATCTTGATTGACCCCTTGCTATAGTTCTCTCCATTGATCTACCCTGTGCTACAAACACATTCTCAGAAGAAACAACATAAGTGTTGAAACAAACATAACCAAATTTAAGAGATTTCACAATACTGAGATTCATGATTAATCCATCCCATGATTCCAGCATAGAACAAAATACTATAACTGCTTTATCTTCTTCATTAATTTTTACATCTAGTGACATTAACTTGCTAATCAAGGCATTAAACTCATTTAAATGCTCTTGCAAAGATGGACCATCGCTCATCTTGAGATTGTAGAGTTGTTGACGAAGAAAAATTTTATTAGGAAGAGACCTTCATAAGTATTTTTCAGCCTGTCCCATAATCTTTTACGTAGTTCCTGATGAGACATTGAATAGAAAGGATTCATCAAGCGCCAAAAGAATATCTATCTTGGCCAATTCATCCTTCTTATCAAATTCCTCATCATCCATCTTTGCAGGTTTATTGTCTCTACCTTTTAAAGCCACTACACAACCATCTTTCACCAACATTGCTTGCATTTTTAATTTCCAGGTTGAGAAATTCGAACAGTCAAGATCTGCGATTTGCCTCAAATCGTGTGCTCAGCAAAGATCTTAAATGCTAAGGCTTTGATACCTATTGTAGGGGATAAAAACAAAGGTTTGGGAAAAATAAATAGTGCAGAAAATTTAAAAAAAGGAGACACAAGGATTTATGTAGTTCGGAAAATTGCCTACGTCCACGGGACAACAAATCTCTCTCTCTCTCTCTCGCTCTCCTTTTGCATCTCTCTCTACAAAACAATTTTTATAAAGAAGAAAATCCCATAAAACTACCCACGTGAGGCCCCATCCTATTTTAATTGGTTTTCTGAAATAATAGGCTGTAGGTTTCCCCACAAGATAGGACTCCTAGTTGCTTCAACCAACTCATGGTAGTTTCATAATACTAAAGGATTACATTCCAATGATAACAAGAACTCTAATAGGATACAAAAGATACCAAAATTCCATTAAAATAGGATCCCCTATTTAATAGGAAATATGACTTCACGTCTAACAGTTTCATATTACGAGTTGCAAAATATGGAGATTACAAAGTTTTAGCCACAATTTATTGTATTTATAAGGTCACAATTTTGTGCAATAACTAAAGTTTTGTTTCATGGAATATAGCATACTTCTTAACAATCAAAGGGAGAAAAAATGTAGCATATAGCATACTGTTTACTTGCATATAATTAATAATTCTTTTCAGTCTTAATTTTTAATCTACCAATAACAAAAGGTAACTCATTTGCATCTAGATTGACGATTAGTTATAGTATGATGTGGATTCAGGTTCATCATCGTGCAGCCAACAGAATTCTGAAACTTTGTGAAGTAAATAAAGGTTTCTATGTCAAAGCAGGTCAATTCATTGCATCAATAAGACAAGTGCCCAAAGAATATCAATCATTACTTTCTTCCTTGCAAGACCAGGTAATTGAGTCCTACTCCTACATATATCTTATCATTCATTGTGTATTTTATAAATTGGTAACTTACTATATTGTATATTTTGTCATGTTTGTCTTGCCTTTATGCATGTGATGCGTCAGGCAGTACCTTTTCAGTTTGATGCTATAAAAGAAGTAATCACAAGAAACTTTGGCAGAGAATTATCTGAGATGTAAGTTGCCCCCTAAGTTTTTTAAGTCAAGTTGCTGTCTAGGTTTGTTGTGATTGTTATGGTTTTGTTTTATCTATTTGTACTGTAGTTATTTATCAGCAAAGGAACTTGTAGTCTGGAACTTTTATGTATGATCTTTTTATTACCATAGTGAAAGCCATGCCTCTTTTCATTTCATGTATTTTTTACCAATTTTATGTTTCAACTAGTGCTTCAAATCTTGTAAATTTGCTATTTACACCTCCAAACTTGCATTGGCAGTTTTTTGCTATGATTCCTTGTTTTATACTATAGTTTTAATTGAGAATTTTTATTGTCATTTGTTGGATTGTTGTTTTCTATATTATTTTGCATCATGTTTTAACTTAAGAAGTATTATCGTTCTTTATGGATTATTGCAAATAATGTATTATATTGCTAAATGGGAGTTTCGTCCTCTTTTTCTTGATGACAGTACCTTGTATTGCTCCCTTTCTCTTAGGAGTATAATTTTTGTGCATGCAATGCAGTTGCCCCTCCTTTCTCCTAGGGTAATTATTTCAATGCTTGTATTGGGATTGCTGCACAAGGTATATTACATTGTATATGATCTTTTGATCCGCATCCAGCTTTGATGGCTGTATTCTCTGTAATTGCTGAATTCCACCTATGGAGATTTTATTTCTTCTTCTTCTAGAATGAAACTGCTATATCAATTGCTTCCTATTGATGCAAGAACAAACCATATTTATTGGAAACATTCCTCACCTAAACCTATGTCAATGAAAGTAACTAAACTAAATCTAAATATTACAAAATCTTACCTGGAACTGCAATTGAAATTGGATTTGACCCTTTCCTTTGTTTTGTAAGGTTAGCGTACTGTGAATGATTCAATCATGGGGATTGAAACTGTTATATCAGTTGCTTTCTATAGATGCATAAAAACTTGGACATAAACAGTAGGGAAAGAAGAAAAGGAATGAATCATAGGGATTGAACTGTTATATCAGTTGCTTCCTATAGATGCATAAAAACTTAGACATAAACAGTAGGGAAAGAAGAAAAAGATAACCAAAAAACACAAGCTACCACAAGTTCACTCCTACAACTGCCTGCATGTGTTAGTGAATCAGTTAGATCATTAGCCACTCTCAGGACATGCTGGAAGTTAACTTGCTGATCTTGGCATATTTCATGTAACTTATTATATAATTGAAGAGATATTACTCATATATGGTATGTTTAGAATAGTTCAGCATTCAAGTTCCAAAGGAAATATTTTCACCTCCAACTGTTACAATGGGAAAGTATTGATCGTCCCCTCCAGTAAAGAAAGCAAATTGCTGGATTTGCACTGATACGGAGTTTTATTTTCTGTTAGATTTTTATCATTTGATGAACAACCCATCGCTGCTGCGTCCATTGCTCAAGTACACCATGCAATATTGAAAGACTACCAGGAAGTGGCAGTTAAGGTGTGTTTTTATGGACTTTTTGTAAAGGTCATTTAAGGGCTAGCTACTGTTTTTTTAGTGCCCTAGCTTTAGAAACCTGCATTGAAATTTATAGATATGTTTGATGGTTTGTCAAAAAGAAAGTTACATGCAACATTGTTTATGAAAAAGTTAAGGCATCGCTATTGCATGTGGCAAAAAGTATGAAGTTGGTTCCTTCTTTAATTTTGAGATTTATTTAGTGTCATATGAGTAGTAAACTTTGCATGAATTGACCATTGTTTTTTTATGATCTTACTAATGCTTCTTATATGCCATTGTGCTTTTTGAGCTACCAGGTTCAGTACCCTGGTTTGGAAAAACAGATGCAAATTGACGCCAAAACTATGTATATCCTTTCCAAATCCATTGCTTGGGTATGCAATACTTCCCAGGACATAATTTTAATGCTATTGTGCTTTATGTTGTCTCGGTGATCCTTGAGTATGCAATACTTCCCTTAAACCCTTCTACACTCTGTTTGGGAGCCGCATTTATTAGGTGCTTGCCTATGCAGCTAAGACCCCTGGTCACCTAGGCACCGCCTTTCGCTTTCTAGAACACTGGTTGCAACAGCTTTAACCCTTTTAAAAATTATTTCACTCAGTTTTGAAGTTCTCTTATACTTCTCATTGACAGATTTTTCCTGAATACCAGTTTGAATGGATAGTTCCAGAATTTGAGAAGACCATTTCTATGGAACTTGGTGAGCGTCAATATCAATCAGCCACCATTATTGATTATTTTTGTTTAATATCTACATCTTGCAACTGTGAAGTGTGCGTCGCTAATTTAAGTTTTACATAGTGCATAGAGATTTCTAAGGTTGTGTGTAGAGATGCAAATGTTACATGTTTTTTAAGGCTAGTAACCCTTCAAGTTATCGATGAACAAAGCATTTACTCTGCTTGCTCCGAGTTTTTGTTTTTCAGATTTCACTCAAGAAGCAAAGAATTCTGAGAGAACAGCTAGAAATTTTAAGAGGAAAAATGTTGTCAGGGTTCCTAAAATATTTTGGGTATGTTTTTGACATTCCGGTGCTCAAGTGTTCTTTGTACATGTTTTATACCTTCCTTTTGGTCGATTGTGCTTACGATTTTTATATTTGGTCTTACTCTTGTGCACTATTTTTCATTCGCCTACTGGTCTTTTTGTGTAATTTTTATTTAAACCATTTCTCAAAACTGTTCACATTCTCTCTGTTGCAACCTTGACATGAATGTTGATTTTAGGTTTTAAACTTGTAGTGCCTTAACTTTGTTATATATATGATGCAGGATTATGCTAAATGGGGCATATATGATTTGTATTTTGTATGAAGGTTTTAGAGTATAAAGTTTATTCCAGTGGGTTATGCTTCTCAGGATTTGACGACAAAGCAAGTTTTGACAATGCAGTTCTGGCATGGTTACAAGGTATGTCTTGTCGATGTCTGGCTTCCCTACCAAATGGCACATGGAGAATTTCATCTTAGTTGGACTTGGCAGCTTCCGTGTTAATTTGGACATGTGAACTAAGTAGTTTTCTTAATTCACTTTATTGACCCCAAAAAATGGATTAATGCTTGGATTGAATATAATGCATGTTGCATTGAAATATAGGCCTTATCATAAATACCAAAAAGGAAGCATGTTGCATTGAAATATATGCATTATCATAAATACCCAAAAGGAAGCATGTTGCATTGAAATATATGCGTTATCATAAATACCCACATGAATATCTCTCGAGGACATTGTTTTAGTGCTTCTATATGCATGAATATTCTTTTGCAGATCTGTGTTTATTGACTAAGGCCCCGTTTGGTTGGCCCCCTTGTTACTCACAGAAATAATACCCCTAGAGTTGCACCACAATGGGTGGCATGCCACTTTTTGCAGGCATAACTACAGGAATCAAACCTGTTTATTAGCAAAAGCAGGGTTGTGCAAATGCAGATATTGACAATCATCGTTGTCAAAGCCTTTTCCCAACTAATTGGGGTCGGCAAATGCAGATGTTGACAATAAAAAAGAAAAATCTTTAACCTCTTTCCAATGGTGGTGGTGACTTTGGAAATATCCAGGTGCCTATCTTCACACTTTCACATAAAGGCAGATGAAGATACAGCTGGGATATTACTACAAGAGCATCCCACGAGGCCTAAAGTTAATACATATTTTTTACTCTGCCACGACATATTTGACAAGATATTGCATTCTTGTGCAGATTGATGACTTGGAGAAGTTAAAGGAGGTGGGAATAAAGCCACAGAAGGTAGGTTATCCCACCTTATCTATGAATTCTACTCATATCTCTTTACTTCAATTATACATAAAAGGAAAAAGATTTGGTGGTCCTGTGGGAAGAAATTGTGTGCTTGGTCACACGGTCAAAACCCCATGTTACGGGATATTTTTTATCCCAAAACTATCAAATCATCTTTGTTCATTTTTAATATCAATTTAAACGAAAAACAATTGATTTGGAGATCAAAAAATGTTCCAAATCAATTACCCCTCCAAGATAATGATGGTCCATTTGATGGACAACCTGATCTAGGTTCTTAAGGGCTCCAAATTATGATTTTTCTTTCTATTTTTGAAAGTATGCCAAGGTGAATAAAAGATTATCATCTAAGCCTTATCCCAACTATTTAGGGTCGGCTACATGAATCCTATTTCGTCATTCCTGATTCAAGATCATGATAGAGATGTGGGAAAAGTCTAATGCTGGCTGGCAACCTAAGACAACCCTCCTTTCTTATCTGGCCTCGGGACCAGCAATAGCATGAAAAAGCTCAGGTCATAGAACCCTCTCTAACTAGGTTTGCAGGTCTCAAGAATTTCAGAGTCATACTTGCTGTCTATATTTTGATTACACACACATGAAAATTACCCTATATCATCATCAAAGCATTTAACCTGTTTACATATGTCATCATTTGCTACACATTATTCAATGTTGTTTCTTCTTTTATACATTTTTTCTGCGCTCAATATTTTTCTGTTCTATATATCTGCTGGGTTTGAAGGATTTTCTTCACATTTGTTGTTCAATAATTTTATAGGTTGCCCAAGCTTTAGCTGAAGTTTTTGCTGAAATGATATTTGTCCATGGGTTTGTGCACGGAGATCCACATCCTGGCAATATCTTAGTTTCTCCACGAGGTGGTCAAGCTTTCTACCTAGGTACATGAAAATCAAGATTCATCTATTTTAAATATGAACTTGGAAACACCTTCCATTCTTGAGAACTATCTCTTGGTTTGTCAATCCATTTTTGTCCAACTTCCTTTTGGCTCCTTTAAAGACTAACTGTCCAAACCTATGGATGGGAGAATCCAGTTCTTTTGGATCACGGTATATACAGAGAGTTCGATGATGAATTCAGGTTGAACTTTTGTCAACTGTGGAAAGCTTTGATCCTTCAAGATTCACGTAAAATACAGGATCTTGGGGAGAAACTTGGTGCTGGAAAGTACTCCAAATTCTTTCCAATTATTTTTACAGGAAGAACTATTGACAGGTAAAATATGTTTGCTTTCAACTTTAAAATTTGTAAAGCTCAATTTTATATGTGGAATCAGTCATTAGTGCTACTTCAATGGGAGTAATACCCATAACTTGCCAAGCGAAAAACTCATGTCATTGTTAACAAATAAGAAATTCCATATTTTTTTCTATTATGATCAGAGATTATGATGCTGGTCAAATAGAGGAATTGAGTCATTGCTTTAATTTTGATCACATTTTGTTTGATATCAATTATTTGTTGAATGTTGATTTGCAACTACTGCTCTGAACTTAAATATGATTGACCTGCTGGACTCAAGTAGGGAGAATGCATCCAAAATTATTGTCGCTGAACACAACATACAAGCACATGCATAATTATGATAAATATGGAAAATAATTAGCAAAAAGTAAAAGCATAAAAGAATGTATGAGGTGACAGTAGTTTAACTAAAGAAATTTTAAACAGTGCTGGCAAACACTTACTCTATAGCAAAATTCATATTCAAAATTGTTCACTAAGTCTATAAAAGGAAAAGAGCCTTGAATATTGAATGAAGTGCACAACTTATAGCTCTTTGAATATTTATGATGGGAACTAAGGTAAAGACACTAAAGAGCTACAAAAACGAAATGAACAACATAAGAGAATTAGAGTTGTACTAGTGTAAATTTGTGCAATCTCTGTTGTTTGATAGCAGGCAATTCTGAGCGTCGACTGTGTACTAGTGCAATGTGATATTCATTCCACAACATAAAGCATGATTAGAAGATTGTTCCCCACTTGTAGCAAGTTTAGAAAATTTATGCTAGTCATCTAGAAAGATGTAAAAGCACTTCTAGTAAAAAAAGACATGTCTTGTTTGAGTCATATTTGCCAACAGTTGCCAGAAGTGAATGTTGAGATTATTGTTGAAATTAGCAGCCACCGTAAACACATGCTAAACTAATGGAACCATCCTGCAACAGCTCAAGAATCAAGGTCCACGTTGCTTGCAAGGAGAGAGCAACATGTTTCTAGATTCTGCTAGCTTATTTGATTGTCCTTGTATTTTTTTTTTGTGCATGTGTGTGTTAGGAAACATGCTTGGGTCAAGACGGTAGAGGCTAGGTTTTCATAACCCAACGTCTCAAGTTACATTCCTATGTAACCTTTGTCGAGAGAGAGAGAGAGAGAGAGAGAGAGAGGCACCAAGGCTGTTCAGAGGAGAGAAGAATGTCTTGGTTTGGAGCTTTGAAATTTGTCACTATAATCTTCTTTTTAGTGAATTATTATTGAAGAAAAAAGCTTGTGGTTTTCATGTCAATTATTTGGGTTATCTTCTGAAAGATTCATGATGTTTCAAATGCATTTGAGTAAATTTGATCTTCAATATTCATGTTAACCTTTCCCAGCAAATCTGCTTTGGGAAGAAGCATGTCAGATGAAGAAAAGAAGAAACTAAAGCAGGAACTGAGATCCTTCGATCTGGGTGATATTTCTTCATTCATGGAATCCTTGCCTCGAGATTTTCTCACTATACTAAGGACTGAGTAAGAATTTATTTCTTTCATTTTTAAATTTTTACATTTGCATATTACGAATTTGGAAACTTTCATTGTGCCACTTCTATATGAATTTGGGTAAAGTATACTATAGTAAAGTGCAGCTATGGAAAACCATAGTCCCTGGAATCATGACCAACAAAAATATACTCTAGTGGATTAGGCGAGAGAAGGACCTGCTATTTGAGTCATGTCCTAGACTATGCTTCTTCCTGGTTTATTGAACTATGGTTTCTCATAGGCTTTTGGACCGTGGATTTACTTGATCTATTGGAATATGGTATTCTTTCCCAATAATTTTGTTTCTTCTCTCTGTTTTTAATTCTCGAAAAGTGGTGGATTTTTGTGTTTTTATTGCCTCCCTTTTATGTGTGTTTTATTATATTTTATCCAGTGGATTGGTAAGGTCTATCATTAGCAAGCTAGGTGTATCTCAACGTGTTCGGTTGTTGGCATATGCTAAATTTGCGGTGGCAGGGCTTAAGACAGAGCCTAACTTAGAGACCTGTAAGTTCTCTTAACAATTATTTATATTCTCTTTGATGAATGACCAATATCATCAAAGAAAATAAATACCAATTCATATGTACATATATGGTTTTAGTAGATGCTTTTAAAAAAAAAAACAAAAACCAGCAGTAGCAGGGGAAAAACCCTCGCCCCAAATAACAAAAGTAAGAATTTTCTCAATGAGTAAATATGATTCTTTTTTATGTGTTATTGATATTTTCCAGTTGGGGACATGAGCTCAAGGGTTTGGACTAGTATAGAGTATACTTCTCTGAGGATTCTTCTTGGTAAAAATTACCAACCCTTATCACCTAATATGCTTAATTGGTGAAGAGTTCAATGCTTATTTTGCTCTCTCACATATTTCAGAGTTCCTAGAGCTTCACTCAAGAATGGATGCTTTCAGGCTTTTGTTCATAAACAAATTGAAAGCAGTAGTCTCAGAGATTTCTAGGTTTCTTTGGAGTGTTCCCTCCCTTGTCATAAAAATGCAGCCCCTAAAAACATTATTCAACAACTGACCACTCAAGAACTGTGCAGAAAAATGCATTAGCTTGGTCGTAAGAGAAATTTTAACAGGCTATGACTATGATGGAAAGGGTGGTGGGATATGCAGTAAGAAGCATTTCGTGGTATTCAAAATGCAAAGATTTTAATGTTGGCTCTTCAAGAATTTAAAAAGGTATGTATCTTAGGAAGGAGACACCAACTTGTATCATTGATGCAGAGTGGGACTTACATTTTGCTATCTTCTTTTTTTGTTTTTTTTTTCCTTTTTTTGTTAAGGATTGTAAAAAAGATTGGATGGAAATCCGTTGTTTTTTTAAAGGATTTACATTATGTTTTATGGCTTCTTAATTCATGGATGCGTTGACACTGTGCAGAGTGGTCCACTGCCATTTAAGGAGGCCCTAGCTTGTGTGTGAATCCAGCAAGGGCAAATGCTTCAAAATCCTTTAGGCGATAGTGTAAGATGGTCACTGAAAAGACGACGACAACAACAGAAAAAGAAAAAGCAAGAGTCATGTAAGATGGTCACTGAAGATGGCTCCGACCCAGTAAAGGATGTCACAAATCGTAATTTCTTGAAAGAAATGGAGGAAATCTGTTATTTATTGGTGAAAAGGATGGAAATTTAATTGGCTTTCATTCTTTGTTTCGACAGAATGCAATTCGGATCATGAGAGGGATGCATTGGCCCATCTTGTTTTTATGATGGAAAACTTTTTCAATTGATCATCTTGACCTCGGAAAAAAACAAAAGATTTTAAATCTTAAAAATTGTACATTTTGTAACATATGTAGACCTTCAATTTTCAATATTTTAAGCATTTATAGAGCAACTTGATCTACATTGTTTTGAGTTTAAAATTTTATAATTAAAGGTGAAGATAGATTTTCAGGCTATTCTAGGAATTTTCGACACCAAAATGACATTCTCTGACAAGTATAGAGGTGCGCCATTGTTTAAAATTGACATCTTACGTAAATCGTACCCTACACCCTAGTATGAAAGCACACCTTGCAAGAATATCCTATGCATATGCTCCGCGAATAAATATTTTGCTATTGTATTTTTCTCTTGACTACAACACCTTAAGTATCTCGGGTTTACATTTGGATTGGTAATTACTTATCCCTATAGTGGCTCATGCCCTGCGCATGCATGCCTTTGCGGCGCACCATAAGTTGAAAAGAGGAAAAGGCAAAAGTTTATGTAAAGGTGAGGTCCTAAACAATCAAATTCAGGTGTACCTCAAAAAATCCATTAGAAGAGGTTTTGAAGCCGATAAACGATCAGTTCGATCATCTCACCCTCAAGATGCATGGACATGAGAAAAAATAGGTTTCTAACTTTAAAAAATAGTGCATCTTGTAATGTGTTATCTAGATTGTCCATTTTCAAGATTTTCAAAAGCTTATAGATTTATTTTATTTGCGCTATTTTTTAATCTTAAAATTTTAAAATTAGAGGTGAAAATAAATTTCAGGGCATCACAAATATTTATGATATTAAAACATGTTTCAACACTATTTGTAAGTGCATCTTACTTTGTTTATTAAGGCCCTCAGCCTTATACAAACCACACTCATAGGAAAATGGAGTCTGGACCCTTTCCAAATATAATGTGAAACACCACATTTAAATAGCATTTGGCATTAGCATGGCAATGACACTCTGTTCAAAACCATCATCACTGACCGTCAGTGCCATATAGACAATCGATGCAAGTGTCAGGAATTCAAAATTGTTGGGGTCTTTCTGAATACTTATCAAGTGATTCTAAGGTGTATCCCAAAGTTTTCGATCAAATAAATCCATTAAGCAAGTAGTTTACCTGAGATTCGAAGTGCACATTTTGCTCCCCCAAAAGTATGCCACATGCGCCCTACAAAATTATATAAAGGCACATCATGAAATTTTTCATGTGGCAGTTGTTGTTTCACTAGAGCATTTCATTTTTGACAGATCACAAATCGGAGGACTAAGACTTGGGCTTAGATGGTCAACAATTGACATTAGCAATACCACATCTCAAGTTATGTTCCTACCACTAAACTATTCAAAACATATCACAAACCACAAAAAACATTGTCAATTTCATAATTTTAGTAACCGTCATTCTATTAAGAAAATTTGTTTCATGCGGCAAAGACCAAGGTATAAAACAAGATGGATGTAAATAGGTGGTCCATTTAAAAACAATTGAAACTAAAGATCTAAATGTTTTCTAAATAATAGAATCATTATTTTTATTTTCAAAATTTATTTACTTTTTCATATTCATGATCTCTATGTTAGAGATTACATGTCCTTAAAACTTCAGTTCAAACATCCATCTCAAAAATAAATTTTTCATAGGTGACTCATTTCGACATGGACTCATAGAAACTGTGTCCTTCTGTTAAAGCCTACATAGTGTAGGCCAAGGATCTTCCACTTTCCAAGGAACTGGCTGTGCCATGCAAAAGAGCAAAGGACCAGGACTGTTACACAGTTGAACCACTCAGTCAAGAGTATAGACTATATAATCTATTTCCCCGTAAAAGAAAAACATATAGAATTACATTTAAAAAAAAACTTACAAAATTAAAGGCTAATAGACAATAACAACCGAAGTGGTGCAAACTGCAAAGCTCTCTCTCTCTCCTGAGGAGTGTATGCATAACCTTCAAATAATATGGAGATTTTCCATTGCAAAGTTATTTCTTGCTTCTTTAAGTCAGTAACTTACACCCAAACCATGCACAATTGGATGAGGATCACTCATGAAAGAGTACATAGTGCCATGATCTTTTCAGGCTTTTACAGTGCTGATAGCTCAACTTCCTGATTGCATGGGCGGTAGGCCACAAATGTAGAATCACATGAGAAGGAGCCTGGGTTAAAACAAGTAATTATCTGCAGGGTCTTGTTGTTTTTACGTATCTCTTGCTTGAATACCTGTTGCTTGCAATTATCTGCTAATACAATCTGCAACAATAATGAAAAGCAATCACAATGCAGTATGTTTGATGATTTTGTTTCCTTTTATTTTGTAAGCAACAACTTCTAAAGGAATCGGGCATGGGCTTCAATGATTAGTTCTCTCTCTCTCTCTCTCTCTCTCTCTCTCTCTCTCTCTGCATGCTTTTTTTGCGAAGATTATCAAAAGAAATAGAGATTACCGTGTGAGGAGCAGGGTACAACCTCAAGCAATGGTCATAGTTCCATAGGATGGGTTGTACAGTGAGAGGCAGTGGGCAAAGATGACTCTGGTGAGTAATGGTAGCAACAAGCTGCGAAGATCAAAGATACCCTTCATAGTCTCATAGTGGAATTTTTTTCATTTTTTTTTTCTCGGTATAATCTTATCTTCTGAGTTCATCCAGACTACCAAAAAGGAAGGACTTTCATTCTCGTAGAATGCAAAAATTGTACTTACATGCCCAAAAGGATCATCTGTCTCATCTTTTGAAGGAGGAATTAGGCACGATCTGCGCATTCTGTAGAGTAGATCTCGCCGGAAGAACACGATCTCTTGGGTGTAGAACCTTATTCTATTTTCATAAAATAACCAATCCATGCTTAAGTATTATGACTTTGAAAAGCTGAATATCTAGTTTTGAACCAATAATTTAATTAAAAAAACTTTCCTATGTTAGAGAAAAATGGCCTAGCAGTCCAAATTGAGGTCAGTCCAAATTTAAATCATGTTTTAGCCAAATCTATTGGCCCTGTATTAATGTAGTTACGCGCGAGAAGCAGGGGATTAACCTGCAAGGATTGCTTGAGAAAATGGCATTCGGGACATGGTTTAGGAGCTCATCCGTCAGGTACTTAGGCAAAGCACACCTGGGTAGAACAGTTGATGGACCTGCAGGAATAAGAGAAAAAAGATAAATATTAATTTCCCACAAATTATAATTATATGGACAAAGCTTAAAAATGTTTATGCGATAACTGCTAGTGTTTCACACAGGCCCACAACCATCTGAACAAATTTGGACAGTTGACACTGGGTTCGTATCTTCTTTTATTTTTACACAATTAGGATTGATCTCTAGATTTGAGGGTGTGCGCACCATGATTAGGAGCATCTAAAAAAATATTAAAAATAATTCAGAAATAACAATGACCATTTTACCCCATGAATGTTGTAGGGGTATTTTGGTTATTTTAATTTTTTTAAAATTTTCAGGTGAGCCCAAGTGTGGTGCATACACCCTCAAAGTTCGAAGTCATTCTGAATTGTAAAAAAAAAAAGAAGAAAATAAAAGAAAAGAAAAGGAAAAGAAAAAGTTTATATAAAGTTGCAACCTTAAAATGTAGAACTACTGTTGCACCTCAAAACCCATTAAAAAATATTATTTTAATGTTGAAAAACCCTCTAATTATGCATCTCGACATCGAGATATATGATTATGAAAGAAAAAAGGATTTTGAGTCCCAAAAATAATGCGTCTTACAACACATTATCTAGACCATCCATTTTTTAAATTTTCATATGTTAATAGTTCTACTTGATTTTAACCATTTTTGGAGTTTAAAATTTTATAATTAGATATAAAAATAGATTTTGAGATAATCTTAAGAATATTTTATATCAAATTTGAAGGTGCGCCTTCATTGGATTGTTTAAGGTTGCAACCTTATGGAAACCACACCCAAAAAAAACTTAAAATTGAAATATTAACATTGGATCCCTACTTTCCAAAATTCAATGTGGGCTGTTGGAACCTATGGCAAAACACGATAGCACTTCGCCCATAAGCGTTTCAAGTATCTTCATATATAT